CTCTATAATATATTCTTAAAGGTCTAGGGAATCCTGGAAAGAATGAAAAGGGCCGGAGGAAAGAAATACGATTAATAATTATTAATATTTTATGTTATAGAATTGATTTATTTTTAATAATTACGTTAGCAAATAATTTTATTTACCAACAACAACTTGAGCGCATCCTGCCAAGGTGCCAGAAAAGGCCTCTTTTGAAAAAGAATTCTTTTTTGAAAAAGCAATTGGTATTCTTCTCGCAGTGGAAGAAGCAACTAGTTCTGAGGCCATTTTATTTGTTTATGAGAATGGCAAATTTTTATTTTCAAAAAAAAGTTGATTTTATTATTTTATTTTAACAAAAATTTTATTTTAAAAATTTAAAATGATTTAAAAAAAAAAGTCAAATATATATAAATAAATGGAATTCATAGTGCAAAAAAATCATTACAAAGTAATATAGTATATACAATAATAATAGTTTTTATTTATATTTACACAATAATAATAAAATTTTCCCTCATCTAATCAAAAAAGATAAATACACTTATTTACTTCATTTAATATAAATATAATGTAATATAATTAATTAACTGGTATTTTAGATTGATGAGATGGTGATAATTAAGTATGTTCGTATAAGAATTAAATGATCTGCAAAAAAATAATATTTTGTACCAAAAAAAGTGAATAGAAAAAAATTTACATCATATAAAAAACGCTAATTTCGACCAAAATTTCAACATCTACCTACATACGCTTCAGCCCTACATTATATATATATATGCGTGTACATCTAATTGTTGGGTTACACTGATATAGATGCAATGAAAATTTTCAAAATAAAAAAACAATGGAAAATCATATTTTTTGATGTTTTATCTTATCAATAACAATATATGGAAAATAAGATGGTTTTAAAAATGCAGATAGATAATAAATTTGGTTTTTTTTATTTCTAAAAATATTTTTAAATTTCTCACACGAAATTTTTAAATAAGGATAAAAAAGAATATTTTCGTTTCGATTTACTTGAATTTTTTATCTCTTGAGAAACTTTTATTGTGCGAGGGAAAATTTTTTTTATCGACTGATTGATGATGTTCTTTCTCCACATAATCTGCTTTGATAAGAAGTAGTTTTTTATTTACATCAAATAGTATCTTTTTAATATCGTTATGTCAATCATTCCTACATTTATTTATTTTGTATTTGTTCGTGTAACCGAATTATTTTTATCTGTTACGTATATTTTAATAAAATATTCTAATGGATTCGGTGGTTGAGTCTCTTGTACAAGAATGGCTTCGTTTGGACAAAGTTTGTGTTTGCAGTTTTACAGAAATGACAATTGATATTAATAGTGACGTAATTTTTCGGAATAAATTTTTAAATGAATTTTTTTTTTTTAAAAAAAGAATCCATCAACGAGAGCAGAAATAGAAAAATTATATGGTGAAAGGAACATTGAAGAATTAGGAAAACGGCTCTCAAAAATATAAGACGGCGATAAACTGTCTAAAAATGACAATTAGACAGGAGACTGTAAGTTATGCTTTTATTATTATAATAATTATTTCCTTGGATTTTCGTTTTCTCGTTTTCATATTTTATTTTTCCAATGATATAGGCTCTGGGTTTATACAAAGGCTCTTCTTCTCCGATGTTGGGAAACGGAATATCCAATGCCATTTTATTCAGTACAAACAAAAAATTCCGTGGCATGTTCAACGATGGTGACTCAACACGTTCTTTAACATTAAGTAAGTATCATTGCTATCACTCTCATTATCAAATTCTTTTCATCATCATATAATTACTATTATCACCGCAACAGTCCAACTAATCAATTATAATCATTTTTAAAAATAGACGAGATTGCAAAAGCTGGCGCATTAACAGGCGTAGTTATGTCATTTGTGAATTGTCCGGTAGAGCTTCTCAAGGTGAAGCTACAAACACAATATGATCAACCGGCCGCAAACAAAAAAGTACGTTTTTTTTCCGAATCTATTAACACGTGATAAGATAAATGAA